AAGTGTTCCCACTTTTTGGCCATCAGAATGACTGACCCCTTGGACAAGCTGGCAAGAATATATATCTGAGAGATAATCAGATTACATAGAGTGTCAGTGATAGCAGTGTGCGATAGGGACCCCAGATTCACTTCTTAGTTATTGTATAGCTTTCAGTAAACCATGGGAACGAATCTGTCTCTTAGTACTGCATTCTACTCTCAGACTAATGGACAATCAGAAAGGACAATCCGTACACTTGAACATATACTTTGAGTTTGTGTTCTTAAATTTGGGGGGCCATTGGGATGACCATCTACCCCTGATAGAGTTCGCTTACAACAACAGCTACTAAGCGAGTATTCGCATAGCTCCATATGAGGCGTTGTATGGCCGCCCATGCAAATCGCCGATATGTTGGGAAAAAGTAGGTAACAAGAAACTATTCGACCTAGATCTTATAGATGAGACTACAGTAAAAATAGTTAAGATCAGTAATAACATTCAAACGACTCAGAGCAGGCAAAAGAGTTATGCGGACACCAGGATGAGGGATTTGGAATTTGAGAAAGGCGATCGGGTATTTTTTAAGGTCACTCATTTCAAGGGAATCAGTAAGTTTGGCAAGAGGAAGAAACTAAATCTCTGATTTATTGGACCATTTAAAATCTTAGATAGAATTGGTACCACCGCCTACAGACTGACACTGCCTCCAAAACTTTTCAGGATCCACAATGTGTTTCATGTATCCATGCTATGCAAGTACAACTCAGACCTCTCTGACGTCTTGGCCCACGAGCCCCTTTCACTCTAAGAGAATCTGTCATATGAGAAAGTGTCGGTTGGTATTGTAGACTGAAAGAGTAGATTACTCCGCAATCGAAAAATTTCCTTTGTTAAGGTCCTACGGCAGAATCACACCCCGAAAGAAGCCATATGGGAGCTAGAATCAGACTTCAAAATCCAATATCCCCCAACTATTTGATTGAGAGTGAGAGAGACAAATTCAATTGACCAAATTTCTTTTAAGGGGAGAGTTGTAATGCCCAAATTAATTTTTATATAATTTAAATTAATTTGTAAATATAATTTTTTTAAATTTGTAATTTTAATTTAGTGTAAAAATGAAGAAAATTTTAAGGAGAATGAAATTGAAAATAATTTTTGGAAAAAATGGTGAAAATTTGGGTTCTGTTGGTATTTTGAAAAAAAATCAGAAATTAGAGATCAAAATGCAATTTAAAAAAAAATCGTGCCACGTAGGATGTTCGGTCAGTAGCTCCGACAAACTAGAACGCACTGCGTGGCAATGGACACTAATGCGATGCCACACGGGAGGCCACGCGGGTGATCCACGTGCCCGCGATCGGACGGCCCAGATCCGCCCCCGCGTGCACGGACGGCCTAGATACGTGCACTCCCCAGACGAGATCGAATGATTAGATTTAAACGCGATCAAAGGTCCAGATCTACTTCCTATTTAATCGCGATCAGACGATACAGATCAAACGCGATGGATGGTCCAGATTAAAAGGAAATAAGTATAAATAACCCTCTGTACACCAAACTCTAACCCTAGCCGCCAGACACCCTCATTGGATAAGAAGACCAAGCCATCGGGAAGGAGAGCTGCCGTCACTCGCCGCTGCACCGAAGCCACTTCCGACCATCAAAATAGGTTAAAAAAAATTTTTTTGCTCGAAATTCAATTTTAAATACCCCCATAATCAAATCGGAGCCAAAAGACCGGTGGATTGATCGAAAAATCGCGGGCAAAGCCCGGCGATGCTGCTACAGGAAATTTCAAAAATACCCCCATAACAATAAATACGGTGTTTTATGCAATTTAGAAAATATCCATAATTAATTACAGATTACTAATGGAATTAGAATCAGAAATTATCTACTGTTATTTTTGTTGATTGTTTTTATTGTTTGAATGCATGATAGTATCTGATTGATCGATTTCATAGCTTTGAATGGATGTATTGGTTGTTTTATGTATTTACGGTTGAATTAGGAAATAATGGAGATTAAATGAAAACAAAAAATTGCGTGATTAAGTGAATGGATGAAACGACAGCCTTACTGGATATCCTAGGAGATGGTGAATGGACATGGTACATAAAAATTCCTACCGTGAACGTTGTCTCATACCGGATGGGGTATCGAGGTTTGGTAATTTGGTGCTCTTATCAGATAGGGTATGAGGACGACCTGTTTTACCTTCATATCAGACGGAGTATTGAGGTTTACTTATTTGGCGCTCATACCGGATAGGGTATGAGGACGACCTGTTAATTTGAAAAATTAAAGGAAATGGTTCACGCATTGTGAGGATATCCCTATAAACCCCTATGGATACTAGTAGACTGATAAAATGATAGAATTATTGTTCACATTGATTACATATGAAATCATGATCTGTGTTATGTTATTATTTCTATAAGTTATTTTGTAAATTTTACTACGGTAAGTAGATGGTAAAAGATTTTGTTTATGATAAATGAATTTGTTTAATTAATAGCTCAATTAGTTATTTTTTATTTTTCTACCAACCTTTATTTATGTGTCGGTGAGTAGCGTTATATTCTTATTGGGCTAGTATACCTCATTCCTTATTTAACTATCTCAGATCAAGAGGATCATGATTTATAGCCCGATCCACAATAGGGTTGCGAGTAGATGCCAGCTTTATTTATTTTTCGTTTATTTCTTAATTTTTGTATTTTCTTCAAAAGAGTAATTTCCGTAACACTATTTGGTACTTTAAGTTATTGTGTAAAGAATGTAAATCTTAATTAAATTATTTTGTTTCCGCACTTAATTTATAATTTATTTCAGTTGAAATTTTGAGGTCATTACATAAATAATTTTTGTCAGTTGAACATTTTTAAAACTTGACCATAGTTTTTTATATTATTGTGAAAATTTTGTTGTCATACACATATATTCTATATTTTTTAAAACGAACGAATTAGAATTCGAAATTTTCTACAACATTTAGATGATAAAATATTTTTAAGGACGAAGGAATTATAATAATTTTTTTCTATTTCTAATCATTTTTCGATGTCTAGTAATGGATTCATCAAAATTATTTTTTATTAGCATAGTTTTTTTTTTCTCGTTATCTTTGTTTTATTTGGTGTTTATTCTCATCAACCAATAAAATACATATGATTTGATATATAATAAATTGTTCATCGTTTTTTGACAAAAAAAATGAACTGATTCAATAATCAATATTATATTTTTTATTAATTACCGAAGAGTTAAATCATTATGGATCATCAAAATATATAGACTTATTTTTTTCATTTGAATAGAAGATATAATATTTAATATTATATAATTTTAAATCATAAACATATATGAAAAAATTACAATACAATCAAGTAAATTTTTGCAAATTCATGTTAATTTGACATAAAATTGGTCTAAACAAACCAATGAATTCAATAATACAATTACAAAATCATAGCCTTTTTATTCTATTAAATATATTTTATAAATTTATATATTTAAAATAAAATCTATGTCAAATAAACTTTCAAATTCAATATCATAATTATGGTTCATGTCCTGTGTGTTATTTTTCATAATAAACGATTTACATGGATTCAAATGAAAAATATACCCATATTGATTTTCAAATTAAATATATTAATCTTTAAATATTCATATATCATGAATAGTATACTACATATGATCTTACATATCAATTTTTATAAAATTAGAAGTTCTATAACATATCTAAATTAATTAAAATTAAATTAACTCTTATCAATTATATTATTAAATATTCAACATAGTACCGAACAAATTAAACTTTTATTAATCATGTAAGTATATTCGATATCAAAATTTTAATTTTGTTTTATATTTAAATATTATTTAAAATAAAAAATGCATGTGATATTTATCAGTATTGCTTATATATTATTTTCACGTAAATTTGTTATTATGTTTGATGTATTATATAATCAAAATATACATTTTTATTTATAAAAAATATTAAAAAAAACCTTTGTCAGTGTGGGTAACATATAGTTTCTGATAGGAAACCGGTTTGGAAAGGTTCCACCGGTTCGTCCGGTTCAAAATCCGTCTCTCCCCTTAAACCCTCAAAAACCTAGCCTCTTCCATCTTTCCTCGCTTCCGCCTATGTTCCTCTTTCTCTCTTTCCCACGCTTCACTCACTATTCACATCAATATACGACGTAAAACCTCCCAGAGTTTAGCCGCCGAATGATGATTGAGTACCGTTGTAGCTCAATCCATTGGAAGCCGTCACCGGTAGTTGCCCTAGCCACCAGTGCCGACGACTCTCAGGTCGCTGCCGCTCGAGAGGACGGCTCGTTGGAGATTTGGCTCGTCTCTCCCGGCGCCGTAGGCTGGCACTGTCAACTTGTACGCGACTGATGCCACTTCATTCGTATCTTTTTGTTTCATCGCACAATTTGCTTTAGGCTTTGCATTGAATGACAATTTGAACTGATTTTGTTTGTGTATAAAACGTTTTGTGAATAGACTATTCATGGAGATCCTAATTCGAGAGTTTCATCGCTTGTGTGGTGCCGTGCTGGCTCGAAAGGGTTGCCATGTGGTCGGTTGTTTTCTTCCAGCATCGACGGGTCAGTTTCAGAGTGGGATCTCTTCCACTTGAAGCAGAAGGTTAGCTTTTCTCTATTCCTGTAAACGCTATGTTAGAAGCCGCACGTACTTACCCTGGATAGTTGAGCGAAGTAATGAGATTTTGTTTGGTATGGCTGTGAACTAACACCACGTGGTTAGCGTAATGATTGCATGCTGCATTACCATACTGATCGATGCCTTGTGGATTTAATGGATGTTGACCATTAGCTTATTGGTAGTTACATTGATATATTAATTTCTTTTTAATGATAGGAATTGAATGCTCAATGAGAATCTATGCCAACAGAAGCTATCATGACCAGAAATTCTGTTCCTAACAAATTGGAGCTTTAGATAGGGGTGTATTGCCTCTTTAACTACCATCTTAACATGACTGAACTGTTTTACTCTATGTTACTAATAAATTATTGGATGATACTGTCACTTATTGTTGTTTGAATTCAATCGAACTTTCTATTTATGAATTATAAAGATAATTGTCCTGGTTTATGTTCATCTGCAGATTGTGCTAGAGTCAATTGGCGTTTCAATCTGGCAGATGGCTGTCGCACCCACTAATGATCAACTGGTTTATGCAGAACCTAAGGTTCAACATATTGGCAACGGATTTTTAAATGGTAACTCTGATGATAAAGAAGACGGTGAAACCAGTGGGAGTGAGAGTGATTCTGACGTAGAAGATCTTCACAAGCAGTCAGTTATTTTGGATAGGCATGTTGCCATTGCTTGTGATGATGGTTGTGTAAGGATTTATACTATCCCTGATTCCAATGAGTTGATATACCAAAGATCATTGCCTAGGGTCAGTGGTGAGATATCGACACCTCTGTTACTGTTGTTGCTATGTCATTGCATGCACTTCTATTTAGAGATCCTTGGTGTCATTTTTTTGTAGGGCGTGTTCTAAGTGTGACTTGGAGTTCTGATGCGAATATGATCTACTCAGGAAGTAGTGATGGGTAAGTGGATACTCAAGGTGTAATAGTTTCTGCATTCTGATGCATGTAATTGAATGATTTCTTATGGAATGGCCTCGTTACAGGTTGATAAGATGTTGGGATGCAAAACTGGGTCACGAAATTTATAGAATTACAGTTGGACTTGGAGGTTTGGGTGGTGGACCTGAACTCTATGTGTGGTCATTGCTTTCATTGAGGTATAACTGGGGCATAGTTTATTTGTTTGTATGTTTACATTTGGCATATACAGATATTCATGGATTGCACATGCAGTGGTAATTATACTTTCACGTTGACGATTGTATTGTTGTTGAGGATAGGTGTGGGACTCTTGTTAGTGGAGACAGTACCGGCAGCGTTCAGTTTTGGGACAGCAAGCATGGAACTCTTCTGCAGGCACATTCTAATCACAAGGGTGATGTGAATGCTCTTGCAGCTGCTCCTAGTCACAACAGAGTTTTCTCTGCTGGTTCTGATGGACAGGTATGTTATATTACTCCTATAACTGAAGTTTGTAAGTACCTGGTGAAATCCTTCATCTTTATAGCCCTAGCAATATATATTAAATGACTTGACATCTTGTTCACGAACACTTATATATCTAGTAGTTGATTGATTCCATTGTGGTCAGAGCTAGAGTTTGTGGCTACTATGGAATTGATAAAAGATATTTTCTTTTCCTTCTCCACCTTTCTATTATTGTTCTTATTATTTCTCTTGATGCACTGTGAGTTCTTGATCTATTTGATTTTCTGGTAAAATGGTAATAGCTTATTAATTTTGTTGATTGCACTTGTAGGTTATTCTTTATAAGCTCTCTAGCGAGATGGTTGGTTCTGGCGATGACAATTCTTCTGCTGAGGTGACAAAAAAATGGGTATATATTGGTTATGTAAGATCTCACACGCATGATATCAGGGCCTTGACGGTGGCAGTGCCAATTATCCGTGAAGGTCTGTGCATGTTTTGTGTTCTGTGCTTTCACATGCACATGCATTTCTTGTCACACTTACAGTACATAAAATAATGTATACCTGTATGATGTCTACACTTAGTCGAAAAGGTCTTTGCTGACTTGGATTTTGAACTACAATTTTTTATCAGCAGATCCTCTGCCAGAGGAAGAGTTGCCAGATAAAAAGTCAAAAAGAAGTCGTAGCGAGCGCTGTAAGGAGAAGCCCATTGACTTTACGTATCATAAGTGGGCTCACCTAGGAGTTCCAATGCTTATCTCAGGTGGTGATGACACGAAGCTTTTTGCCTATTCTGCTCAGGAGTTCACTAGGTTCTCTCCGCATGATATCTGTCCTGCACCTCAGAGAGTTCCTATAGAACTGGTGCATAATACAATATTTTGTCAGACTTCTTTGCTTCTGGTCCAAGCTTCTTGCTGGATAGATATTCTCCGTGTTAGCGTTAAAAATAATTCTGCAGGCCGGGCAGCAACTGATTTGTTGGCTCGGGTTAAGAGTAAGGCTTCTCGGAGGATCATTTGCAGTACAATTTCTAAGTCTGGAGCATTTTTTGCCTATTCCGACCAAATTAGACCCAGCTTATTTGAATTGAAGAGAAATGAATTTGGGGAGAGTAAGTGGACTGTTACTAGGAGGCAGCTTCCTCCAAAACTACCATTTGCACATTCTATGGTTTTTAGTTCTGATTGTTCGCGTTTGATGATAGCAGGACATGATAGAAGAATATATGTAAGCCCCTTCCCATGATTTATTGAGTTTATCTACTTGTGCATTCTTCCCCCTACTAACACATACTTCTTCTCCAGTTGATGTTATCATATGGTTTTAACATCATCTTTGGTGGTACAGGTTGTTGATGTGGGAAGTTCAGAACTCGTCCATACCTTCATACCTTGCAGGGACGAGCATGAAGAGGAATTACAACCTAGTGAACCTCCGATAACAAAAATGTTCACAAGTTCTGATGGGCAGTGGTTAGCTGCTATCAACTGCTTTGGAGATGTCTATGTGTTCAATCTTGAGATACAAAGGTGTGAATTTACAAGTGTGTTACTCTGCTCTCTTGGTATATTCGATCTTTCTCTGCTGCTTAAGATTCTGGCAAACCTAAGTTGGTGATTTGTGGAAGCATCAATTTGAAATTCTTTGATGTTCCTGCCTCCATGGCATCTATAATGGTTTGTAGAATGCGTCAATTTGAAGTACTCTGTGGTTAGAAAAAGTTGCATGCAAATGTGGAATGAAATCTGTAACTGAGGAAGCTGTTGGGGGTGGCATTGAAAAGCTTCTTTGAACTTCCATAAACTGAAACCTTTTACCAGACCATACTTTAGAAATTCCTCCACCGGACTGTACCTTGCTCAATTTTATTTTATAGCTTGAATTTTCTTGTACCAATTCCTGTTGGTTTTGTGAAACAGGCAACACTGGTTCATATCAAGATTGGGTGGTGCCTCTGTTACAACTGGTGGTTTCCATCCCTGGAATAACAATGTTCTTATAATTTCAACCTCCTCAAACCATGTCTTTGTGCTTGATGTTGAAGCTAAACAATTGGGGGAATGGTCGATGCAGCATTCTTATGTTCTGCCAAAGAGATACCAAGAATTTCCTGGGGAGGTTATTGGGATCACATTCTCGCCTTCCCCAAGTTCATCTGCTATAATTTATAGCGCCAGGTGTGGCTCACTACTACTTTTTTCACTTTAATGTTTTTACTCTATAGCTTTGAAGCATTAGATGCTTGTAACATGACGGGAGTAACTTGAACTTACGAAAGTGAGAAAGTTGGCAGCAAGCTGACTGGAATAACTGAATCACTTGCTCTATGCATTTACGTTTTCCCTCCATCCCTTCCCTTAAAAGTTAAAAGAGCAAATAGAAACAATTTTGTTCACTTTGTTTGTGACTTGAGATTAGAATGTGCTTCGGAGAAGTCCTAACAATTGATTGTTATGTGTTGTTTACATGCACCAAGCCTGGCAACAACCTTTTGTCATTGCTTATTGTGATGATGCATCTGATGTTGGATATGTTCTTTATAACGCAGGGCAAAGTGCTTGATTGACTTTGGAATGCCAGTTGAACGGGATGATGAAAATGACTTGGTAAATGGCTGCGTAACCAAGAAATTGCAAAATGCCCTCCTTAAAGGGGGTCTAAGGTGTGGGAATGGGACTCGAAAACGGGCTCTGGAGGACTGTCAGACAGAATTGAAACTAAGTGGTAGAAGGAATTTTGAAGTTTTGCCTTCCAAAAACCCTGTTTTATTTATTGGACACCTTTCAAAAAATTCCGTCTTGGTCATAGACAAACCATGGATGGAAGTGGTTAAATCTTTGGATACTCAACCTGTTCACAGAAATATTTTTGGGTCATAAAATTTTGTTCTCGAAAAAGGGAGAAATTTCAAATACGTCGTTTGATCCCTCCTTTCTGATGTCATGCCAGTCTATCATGATCATATGTTGCAAGTAATTGGGATGCATCATGTCAGAAGGACTAGGTTTCGAAGTGGGGATCTCAAGCATGTTGTGTATTGTATGGGTCAAATGATTTTGTTAACATGATAAATTAGTGTTTCCTCTTCAATCTTTTATTCTAATTTAAATTTTTGTGTTTACTGGTTACTCAACCCTATTTTTCTTCGATTAGGGGATGAACAATGAAATTTAGATAGGGAAGTTTAAAGACCAGATTCATTGATTAAATATCAAAGTAGGAATTCTTGTGTAAATTGAAATTCTACTGGTTACCCTACTAAGTCTACTGTTTTGGAAGAGTATTCGCCTGCCTTGTTTCTTGTCTTATCAATTTGTCTTTCCAAGCAATGCCATCAGCTTGTACAGCCGCAGTTCGTATTTTTCCTGAGGTTAACCTGAGAGTTACCCGAGATTAAGGTTAATTTTTGCAACAAATGAATTTTTTTTTTTTTGGGTAACATTTATTGGGAAATTAATGTATTTTTTATTTGTGATGATTGAAAATTTTCCCATAATAAAGAAAAAAAAAAAATTGGCGTTGTAGATAATTTCAGAGAAGACTAAGAGATTGAATTTTCAAAATTTATTAATTTTGAATAGAACTTGATAGTGTAATGCTTCAGTTTTATTTGGAATTCTGTTTGTAAAATGATAAAAAACTAACATAATAGAAAACATATTTGAAAAAAAAAAAAAAAAAGGAATTTCCCAACTTCTAAAATAGATACAGGACGAAGTGGTTTGAATATGAAAAATATGGTGTAATTTTCTGTGAGTACATAAGTAGTAGCTAAATGAATAAACGAGTCATCAACTGACCAAACGGGTTCTACAAGATCTTCACATTGACAAATCAATTGCTTGCTCACAGTTATTTTCTTAATAGATTCCCCAAAGCAAGTAAATAAAACTTCCAAAAAATTGTTGAAAACAAAAGAGGAAGCCAAACAAATCTTTGAAAACCCTATTAAGAGCTTCTTTTCTGCCAAACAAATTTTAAACTGCCATGGAACTTCAGACCTTCGGAGAAATGGATTTTGATTTGTTTCTGTGAGTTGTTCTTGAATTGAGTGGGAGCTGTCAACGAGATAGCGCCATTTATTTTCTGGATTTGGCCCAGATATGTTCTCCAAAGAATTGGTATAAGGACAATTGTTTACTGTATATATTGTGTATTAGATCATATACATACACATGGACTACTGCATGCCACAGCTGATAGTTGCCAAATAAAGCAATTATTTGGTAACTACCTAATCGTCTTTTTAAAATTGTGGGTTCAAATTCTCGATTATGTACTTTTTCTTATTAATAAGAATTATTTCAAATTTTGAATTATGTGCTTCTTGTCACAAGACAATTGATTAAAAAAAAATAACAATTATTATCATGCACATCTTTTAAAAAGTAAATTTTTATTATAATTTTATAGAGAATATTTTCTTTTTTTTTTTTTTTCTCTTATAAGAATTTTGAAAATTATTGAACTTGTTAAGTAGTTCAAGTAGAAAGTTTAAGACCTCTCTCTCTCTCTGTTGTCAAGGAAGTTTAAGACTTCTATAGATAGCATCGAAAAAATTTAATGTAATTGATCAGATCATACATATATTTTTCCAACGCAATATAAATTGTCGAAAGGATTTAAAAAATTCATTAAAACATAAAATTTAAGATTTTTTTTTTATTTTATAGAAAATAGACCTTTATTTGAAGAATGCATGATCATAAAGATAAATTTACACCAATTAATTTGGAATTCAATTCAAATTTTTTCTTGAAGGGTATCGTAAGGAACATAAATATAACAATATTGATTTATATATGTAGAAAAAATAATAATAACAGAAAACAATTAAAAAAAAAATAAAGTAGGACACAACTAAAACCAGAAAATGATAAGAACACAAAATATCTTTGCATGAGGGTTGTATGATTCATAACCTCTAAAACTGATCTTACACAAATGTGGGGGAAGAGACAATGACACCAAATGATTTAAAAGCAAAACAAACAAATGAGTAATGAATTTTTTTGAAAAATTGAAAACAAACTAATTTAAATTAGGTTTTATTGGCAATTTGCTCCCACAAACACTTCTTACTTCCAAAAATTCTTTTTAAACTTTTTACTTGTTTTATATGTTAATGATCTTCTGAAAATGGCAAAAGGGTCTTTTCAAAGTTTCATACTTTATTGCAGTTCGCTTTTTAAAATATATCTAAAGTAGGATACAAAAAAGAAGACTAATTTTTTTTCTAGATTTTTTAATGCCTTTTGTTTGATTATTCTAAAAAAAAAATGGTACGAAAATAAGATTTTAAATACATTATATCGAATTTTTTGTTAATACAACTTTAAAATCATATAGATAAAAAGTTCAATCACATGGTTATTTATTATTTAATAAAAAATAAAAAATAATAATTTAATAAATTATGTTACAATAATTTAAAATATATAATTTTTTTTTTTTGTGTGATAAGTTAGTTCTTCTATTTAAATCTGTATTTTTACATAAAATATATATATGCATCTTTGACTTTTAAATATTAGTACGTGAAAATTTAAAATTAAATTAATTAAAATTTAAAAATTATAAAATAATCTTACGAATACAGCTTAAATATAAAATACCCAATAAAATATATAGTGAATTAATCAATATACAATAATGCATACAATTTGAAGGGACGGATTAATCTTTTAATAAGTGCTCTTCTTCAAAGGTTAACTAAATTGTATTTATGATTAGTAAGAAGTAGAAATTGGTAGGGTAGAGGAAGGTGGTGTGGTGCCTTTTCCTCCAAGAGATAAAAAGTCCTTTTCCAAGATATGGGAGCTAAATAAATCTGGGAATGGAACACCTTGAGTGAAGATCCTGAAGGCAACCCACCAATTCAGATTCAATAATTGTGCCAGCCCTGATGTTATATATATACATATGGATCATATTTGTTGTAGCCATCAAAAGATAGTGAGATGCTGGCTTTTGGGGCCTCTTGGGTACAAAATCAACCTTATTTTTTGATGCCTTCCATCTGAAAATATTATATGTTTTTGGGTCTAGAGATTACAAAATTTACCAACCATATATAGCTTGCTTTGAGCTAGCCTTGGCCATTACACTAGTGAAAAAGAAAATTGGGGACTATTTTATTGGCATTTGGGATTTTTCTTTTTCTTTTTTTAATTATGTGATATATATTAGATTTGAATTTGAACCGTTTAAGTATAGAAAAGAGATGGTACACTAATCAACTAAAATTGAATCAAATTATAAATAAATAAAATTTGATTATATTTTGTAAATAAGACTGTAAGTGAGAAAAATAGGTGTAGTCGTCAATTTTTTTTTTTTTTTTTCTATATAAATATTAACATTAAATATATGAACTTTCTGGTTCAAATATTAATTTTTAAATATTCGGGATTGAGTCTTGGGAGGGATTTTTTTTTATACTTGAGAGAGAGTGAATGGGGAAAACTGGGTTAGAAGAACAAAAATGAAAGTCATTTTTGGGGGAGGGAAAAAAAGAAACGAGAGATTATTTTCTCGAAAGGACCACCAAAATTTTTCTTGCTTTATTATTTTCCACACACGATCCCTTTTGTATGATTAAATTGTCTTTGGTGATAAACCTTTTTGTAAAGAAAATGAAATGTTTGAAACTTCAAAAAAAAAAAAAAAGGAGCAGCAACATACTCTTTCTTATTCCTCATCTTTTTGACAATCAAAAGCAGAAATTTTATAGGTGGGCAGATTTCTTTTCTCCTTAATTCCCCTTACAACATTATTATGTTTTATTGGGTAACCACAAACTAATTTTGGGGAAAGAACAGAAAATCATGAAGCCAGCCAGCATGTATGGGATTGTGTTAACAAGCTATGATTCGTGTTAGTAAACATAATAAATAAATTCATTTCGTTCATTTTTCTTTGTTACTTGAATAAGATTTTCTCTTTATAAAAGAATTTAAACCTAAAAAATTATTAATTCAAATAATGCTGTCCGAATAGATTATAAATAAAAACTAAAAATTGATGCAAGACACTTAGAAAGAAAGAGGTTAAAACTGGCAATGGGGAGGGGAGGTACAGATCCCCCTTTTTTTCCCCCCTCATTCATCATTTTTCACAAAGTCAAGAAAAAAGAAATTAAAAAGAAGAAAGAAAATTTTTATTTATTAATTTGTAGTACCTTTTTTTTTTTTTTTTTTTTTCCCACTCTCAGGTTGTTTCCCACTGCATTGACAGGAACGCATTAAAAGCAGAAGAATTAATAGAAGAAACAAATATGAAAAAGTAAAGAACATTATGAACCCTTTTTAGATCCACTGCTGCTTTTTTTTTTTTTTTTTTTTGTTTCTCTACAGAAATTTTCATGGAAACAGACAAAAGATCAATTCACCCTTTTTCATTATTTCCACTTTCTTCTCTGCATACTTCCTGCCAATAAGATAAAATCT